CCAGATCATTTATTGATCCAGTAATTTTGCATGACCTTTTTTTTTTATTTGCAAACGGATGAAGGTGGCGTATTCTCTGTTGCCCGGCACAGATGAAAATGCAGAAAGTTATTTTACACACTCCAAAGTCCACAGAATCAACTGATAAAATTATACTGATAAAGAACATTAACGTCTTAATAAAATAAAGACCTAAAAACATTTTTTTCAACATATATGTATATATATATATATATATATATATATATATATATATATATATATATATACATATATATATATATATATATATATATATATATATATAGAGAGAGAGAGAGAGAGAGAGAGGGGAGAGGGAGATATTGAATAGTAATGAAAAGACAGAAAGACAGAGAGTGACATTATTGCGACACAGGTATGAAATTAAGAATAAAAGTTTTTATGTGTAAACCCCGTATACAAACTGGAGAATTTAAAGAGTTAAAAACGTTAAGGTGAAAACATGGTTTGAAATATGGAGCAAGAAAATTTTTTTTTTCTTTCTGATAAGCAAAAATGCAGAATGGAATGCCGGGTCCAAAATATGTGAATGGTGGATTGCTTGTCAGCCGAGAGACGGAGGGAAGTGTTATAAATCGCAAAAGCAATAATATATACAACTGAAATATGGATTTGTGCAAAGTGGGCCAAGATTTTCTCGGTCATGTTAGAAAATCGAAAACAAAGAATTTCTTAGACGTCAATGAAAAGAAATAATCTATAAACACAAAGTTTGTTATCAGAAAATTATTGTTTTGAATATGTAACAGATCGCGGGCCGATTGTCATCACGATATTGAAAGCAATGCTGAACAAACTTTGATGACGAAGAATGTATTGTTTTGAATAATTGACCGCTTTGTTTAAAGGTCAGTGTCGGTTCTCCAGAACTGTAGAAAATAATTAATTAATATGAGGTGCAGTGGAACTCGAGCGAAATATATATAAACTAGAAGAGACAAGAAGTCAGCTGAAGACACCATTGTCCGGCAGAGGCCAGGAGAGACCCCATTACCTGCTGCCGAGAGAGTTTCCGACCATACTTGTTTTTATTTTTGACCCGCACCAAGTTTTAATAGAAAAAGTGCCACGAAATATACAATAAGGGTTAATTTTGTTGTATCAAAAACTACATTAAGCAATTAAAATTTAACTTGGCGTTCTTCTTCGTCATTTTTTATTAAATTTTTTTTTTTTTGTATTTTTTCCCAGAGGAAACGTTCTTTGGCCTTTTGTTACACGCTTTCGCCAGAGTTCGACCCAGCACTCGAGTACGGGCGAAATTTGATCTTCACTGCTCTGTGATCAAGAAACACAACGTGTGGCACAAGCGAATGAAGGAACGAAGCTGCAAGTAAATAATCATCATTTGACCAGCGGCAGCACTCACTCTGCGTGGGAAGGACCCAAGAGCGATCGGACAATTGTGTTATAACCGTGAAGAACACACACTTATATGAGGTCTGATGAAAATGTATCGGGAATGACGATATGGAAATGGAACAAAAGTACACAGAATGAAGCCGCTTCATTCAGATGATCTTGACTCTGTCACGCATGCACACATACATAGTTATAACGTTCTCATTCTCTTCCGTTGTTGATTGCATTGTTTGTAAGGAAAGTGTGTAGAGTGTGGTCGGCTCACCGTATCATAAAAGCTTTTGTCAGGGGCCATGGCTTGTGCAGCAGTTTCTGACCAGGCACATATATTATTCTAGTCCGGCAGCCACCGAATTCACCTGATCTCGCCCTCGGAAATTACTTTTATCTTCAAAAATGTAATCCCACATGAAAGGTACAAAATTTCATGCGAGGAGTCAGCCGCTCGATATCTCTAAAAAAGAGTTCCATGAATGTTTCTCTCAATGGGAAAACGCTGAATAATATGTGTGGCTTCAGAAATGGACTACTTCGAAGGAGATTAAATGCCGAATTGATAAGTAGCATAGATTACTTATAATAGCATCAGCCCTGATACGTTTACATCAGTGTATAATTTGTTTTCTGTCAGGTCTTTCTTCGCGTGATAATAGTACCATGTAACCCAGTAATGGTCAGGTCAGGTGCTCAATGGAGCAGCGACACTAAGACTACATCCGGTCTTGAGATTGATGATTATGACGATGATAAATAATTTTACTCTGAATTAATGATTACTCTGAGCATCATTTCAGTTGATATTCTTGTTTGAGAAGACATAATCGATTTTTTTTAAACAGGAAATTAACGACCACCGAACTTGACATAGAAAGTTTAATAAAGAAGCGTTACCTCTCAGTAGATGTTTTCTTTAAGACTTTCTATGTCTAGGTCGGTGATCATTAATTTCACTATTTGAAACAAATGCGAATATCTACTCTAAAACGTATATCCAGGTAAACAAGCTTGCATTAAAAAAAAAAGATTGGTATCATTGAATATTATCTCACTTGTATTGTGTGAATATGTTTGTTGAACTTAGTTTCTTAAATTGATTAATTAAACACATGGGATCTCCACTAGTCCCAAACTATATATATATATATATATATATATATATATATATATATATATATATATATGTGTGTGTGTGTGTGTGTGTGTGTGTGTGCAAATATATTGAAAATTAGTATTTTTGTTTTTATTTTTAAAAAAAAAGTGATCGATGCAAGTAGAGCCAATATTCTAATTATTTTTAAATATTCCATCGTTACATAGGAATTGACATGTTTCAAAGACTGAAGCAAAAAACGTCCAATTCAATTATAGAAATTAAATTAAAATTTAAGTACCTAGTTCTGTTTCATCCCCCAAGCGAATTTTAATATTTAATTTAATTACTATATTTGAATTGGAAGTTGTAGCTTCTGTTTTTCAAACATGGCAATTCCTTTGTTGCGATGGAATCCTATTTTTACAAAAATATAATAATATTATATATATATATATATATATATATATATATATATATATTCAACATAATGTGTATTCGTCTTTTCCTTTTATTTCTACTCATTAGTTCTATAGTGAGTCCACCTGGAACCGAAAATTAGCTGCAGAAAAGACAAGGCAGTAATAGGATCACGGTAGCCAACCGGTCCCGAAATATATTCATGTTGCCAACAGTAACCTCGCTTTTCTTTCTTTTGTCTTTGAGCATCACTTACAGCTTGCAATGTTTTTTTTTCTTCAATTTCAAAATGTAGAAATGTTGCCTCTCTTGTCAACGGAAGGCATACATTTCCACAATCAAATCTCTGTTATTTTATTCTTAACTAATAAATATTTTAGAAAATTTCTACTTGTAATGCAACTTAATTTTGAGTTAGATTAGCATTTCCACGTGCGAAAAATATATAACTTCTGTTCATATTTTTTTCCTATAACGATATTTAACTGTACTGACATTTTCCAATTTCTCTAAATTCCGATTTCAGTATGTTGAAAAACAAAGCAAGATAATAATCGACTTGTATCTAAGCAGATGTTTGTATTAAAAATATATCTATTTGTTTGAGGCTTATTTTCTTTTAGTAGAACTTTTATTTTTCGATTCAGAAACACTAATGTGACCCATTTTTGGAATCATCGCAAAGTCTCTCCTATATTCTTGAATATCATGAATTATTGAATAAAAAATTAGTTTCGTTGCCACATCGGAAATTACTAGATTATCGCGACTCATTTTATAATCTCCAGTTTCTCCGAACTTGTCGTACAGGGCAAAATGTGTCAGATTTTATTATGCAACACAATGGTTTCGTATTAAATTTTATATTAACCGACTGATGTAAGTAGAACTTTCGGAATAATCTAATATTTATAGTAGTAATACATCAGATAAATTTTAGCTTTCAAAAAAGTGTTCTTATTAAACATGTTTGTGCAACAGTTGTTCATTTAAACATGTGTCGAAAACAATAGACATCAAGTTCCTAACGTTTTGTACGTCGAACCTATTTTAGGACCGACTTAGTACAAATACAAGCGTCCACTGCGAAATCACTCCACAACAAGTAGACATCGTCGTCGTCGTGGTCATCGACGGACTTCATAAAGAATATGAATTCATAGGGATAACGTATAAAACTATTATTAAATGTGATTACCTTCGTGTCTTCTCCAGTTCAGCAGTAGTCGTCAAAATCGTATATCATATTCGGTATTTAGATGCACGTCCACAGCGAAACTTATTATAACACATGCTCGAGTTTATGTGTATTTATTGGCAGTACCACAGAAAAAAAAATCTCAAGCACCTCGTCACTTACCTATTATGGGAACGCCTAAGGTGTAAAGGAATAAACGTAGACCCCCTCTCAAAGGAGAGTTAGGGTTCGAGCTAGTATTATTGGCAAAGAAGTGGACTTCTCTACCGATCAGAATAAAATACTCACGAATCATATTCTGTTCCTCCCTTTACGACTTGGGCACTTATATAGTTTCTATGCCTTAAGAAATCGACTGTAATCAGCATCGTCGAGTTAATGCCAACGGAACATTCCTTAGCTTAATAGTATATGCTTCTCCAGAACTATATACAGTTTTGAATTCAAATGTTCTTTCTCTTATCTGTTGCAACCCAAGGCTATAAAACCCAGTCTACCCTACTGTTTACCTATAAATAGGAGAAAAGAATTGGATTCATGCCTTTCCCAATGGTATTAGCGTGTAAATGAATGTAAAGAAATCAACTGGAATTCAGTCTAGTCTCTCCTATTCCTCAATCCGAACTTTGATTGAAAATATTGTTGGCTAGAGTTCAGATCAAGCATTCTATTGCAAAATGAGAGAATTCTGTTGCAGATATTTCTTGCATTTCTGAAATGGGTAAAATAGATTATAACATTTTGGATGGCTATGAATTGTGTTCCGCATTTTTCTGATAGGCTAAGAAGATTAAAGAAAAAAGATTGCTGGGTAATTTGCTTTCTGAGCGTATTATTTTCATTTTCGAATCCGTCTAGCTCAGTAGTTCCCAAACGGTGCGGCGCACATCATAGGTTAGGCGGAAGAGGATGGCAGGTGAGGCGAGAGAAGATAGCAGGTGAGGCAGAAGAGGATAGCAGGTGAAGTAGAAGAGAATAGCAGGTGAAGTAGAAGAGGATAGCCGGTGAGTCGGAAGAGGATAGCAGGTGAGGCGGAAGAGGATAGCAGGTGAGGCGGAAGAGGATGGCAGGTGAGGTGGGAGAAGATGGCAGGTGAGGCGGAAGAGAATAGCAGGTGAGGCGGGAAAAGATGGCAGGTGCAGTGGAAGAAGATAGCAGGTGAGGCAGAAGAGGATAGCAGGTGAGGCGGAAGAAGATAGCAGGTGAAGTGGAAGAGAATAGAAGGTGAAGTAGAAGAGGATAGAAGGTGAGACAGAAGAGGATAGCTGGTGAGGCGGGAAAAGATGGCAGGTGAGTCGGAAGAGGATAGCAGGTGAGACTGAAGAGGATAGCAGGTGAGGCGCAATAGGATAGCAAGTGAAGCGGAATGATTGAAAGACAATCAAAGATTTAGAAACCAATCATTTATCAAATAAATATGATTTCAAAATTAAAATCATTATTAAGGATTACTTGCAATTGCATGTATGAGTCTCACTATAAATAGTTATATTATTGAGCGATTTTATCATTGTGATATATACGTATGTATTAACAAGGCTCTGCAAATTCGTGGTGAGAGTTATCAATGATAATGTTCTGACTTAGGATTCGTTGTTATCTCCCTTTGATCCTCTGTCTGTTTTTTTTTTTTTAATTTTTGAATCTAATTTAATTTATTGATGCGCGAGTAAATTTTTTTTCTTAAGATGCGCCCCGAGAAAAAAAAAAGAAAAGTATGGGAAGCACTTGTCAGGTTGCTGATGGTTTCAGAAGTCATTTTTTTAAAAATGCCCAGAGACAAGTAAAAGTGTTCTAAACAGCTATACATTATCAGTTTTTCTCAATGGCAGTAAGAGCTGCCCAGTTTCCTCTTAGTTGAAGGAGAAGACTTGAGGCAACAGAGATATGGTTCTATAAATGAATACTGAGAATAATATGAACGCGATATGTGAGTAACAATAACGTTTTAAGGAGACTGGAAACAAAAAGTACATTTGTAGTTGTAGTGAAGTGAGACCAAAGTGAGGTCATAGTCGCCATTTGTAATTCCGCCAGAGATTTTAAAGAAAGCCGTTGGTGATTTGCATACGCGAGCATGTAACAAATATAAACGAAGAACACGTTTTCAGGACGCTTTTTTTTTTTTAATCTGTTTGAATGCCGCAGTGGATTGATAGTGTAGAGGTCTATGCTGGTATTTTCTTGATAATGGATTCTTGAAGTGAAAAAGAGATGGAAATTTTTGAGACCACAACGAGGTCTGAAGAATATGGCGTTCCCACAACATACGGAAGATATGATGACCAAATGGAATTAATGAAGAAAACACTTGCGTGAAGGAATGCCAGAACAGTGACAAGGATTGAAAGTAAAGTGACAAATGTTGCTTAGAATTCCAAAAGATAAGACGCTGTGGCGAGCCATGATCGCCCTCTTGTTATGAGGGGACGTGTTATATGAAGAAAGACTGGAGTGAAATATTTTCGCTGATTTGGTGATTGGTATATATGTTGTATCCCGTTAATTATTTACACAGATTTTGTAATTAATGTTTACACTATTTACTGTTGTCCTCATCTTTATTTTCATACTCACTATGTTTATTCCGTTGTACACTCTGGCCTTCTTCAAGATAATAAAGATGAGGACAATAGTCCGAACAATATAATTACCTTACCTCACTTCAGAAATATAGACAGATGTAATAAATGTGATGTTAATATCTGTCTTTTACATACACGACTCATAAATATGTCGGGGTCTGCATTGATAATAACGAATAATGATGTTATTATAAATGAAAACAATTGTATTGAATGGAAAAGTCATGAAAGCAACATATTCCTAAAACTGCTCTTGCTCCAAATTTTATTCCAGACAGTTGTGTGGAAATAATGGGAAAATAGGCTATTTTTTAGAGACAGTTTTTAGAAATCATTCACCAGCAAAATAAAGGTGGTTCAACAAACTTATCTTTGTAAAATGACAGAATTTACTAGCATATTCGACCAATATTTTCTTTAGGAAGAGTAATTTTCAGCTATACTATTTAAAGAGAAAGGAAGGAATAAAACTAACAAAATAATTGCGAGTGCTAAACACACGGTTTTCACACGTGCGATTTTCCCAAACAATTTAATGGTTTGATTTTTCCTTGGGCAAAAACATCACAAACCTGGATGCTTATTTTCTTCTGTCTGTTTTTTTTTTCTCTGATGGCAGCCGGAATTGTGTAAAATCTCCACGTAATATTTTCATCACTCTTTCGTATTAAGTCAATTTATGGAATAACCCAAGGAACATTTTTGCTGTATCGATATTTTCAGTTGTGTAAATTGTGGATAACTTTCACATTCAGATATTGAGAGGGGAAACATCCACTTTGGAAGAAATCCTGAATTCTATCGTAAAGAAATAAAGACGCAGTATTTGTTAAGTTTACCTTTGGCAAGAGATTAAATTGGTCGATTTAGGAAATCGGTATTTCCAAATAAGAAAAATCTGTCTGCCTAGAAAATCAGTATATCTATTAGATTCTGACCAGGGTCTTATAAAATGTATTAATAATAATATGGAGTAGGTCTAGCTGTACAAACTAATACGGAAAATGCATGAGATAAATATACAAAAAATTCTATTACATAATTTCTAAACAATAGTGGCTTAAATTATTCATGAAATAGGTACTTGCAGATCATTCACTGTTTAATGATCGAAGCTTCCTTGACCAAATTGGTCGGGACGGCGTCCATGAAAAATACAAGCTTGGCCTCGGAAGTTCATGCCTTTTCAGGGTCACTGTCACTGTCACCTGGACAACAATGCTTCCAGCAGAAATGCCGGCTATGCTTATGACTGGGTCGACATCTCCGACGATTCAATATGTGAAAAAGAAAGCCCTTAAATGCTCCTCGGTGTAATCCATATGTACCCGTGAAACGTTACCTCGGTGCCCATGTACTCCGTTTAGAGCCACACCTATGTGTGTAGTGAGGACACTGCCTGCCAACTTTTACTGGTTTTGATATCCGTGATGAATTTGTGAGCCGAGTTCGAATTCCAGTCGAATCCATTACATTTACTTACGTGCATATTACCTTGGGAAAGGTATAAATTCTATCTCTCTACACAGCTATAGGTAAATAGCAGGACAGACCGGGTTCTAGAGCCTTGGGTGGTAACTGGTCTACCGCAGAAAGAAATGGCAACCTACTGCGGGAAAAATCTGTCTCGACAGTCATGTATTGAAAGATACATGATCGCCGAAGCGTGTATTACGCATGGGACTAAATATATAGTTAGCAGGGAGATGTTCCTGATTGCCAACGTATCCAAGGTCTCTGATATGGTGAGGAGATATTCAGCAGCGTCGTATTGCCCTTAATGATCCTGCATGTCGAAATCGTTTTTCTGTTTGCTTATTTGGCATATTAGATGAGAGATTCTGCTATTGCAACCGAGATCAAAAGTACAAATGATTACGACAAAAAGCTCAAAGATGTAACCAACCATGACAAAAAGTAATAAGGACAATATGATTAATTGTGACAAAAACTTACAAAATAACGGTATCAAGAGATAAAAATTCTCATAAATTGTTCCAATGCCAGCGGAAATAACTGCAAAGAAAATCCCCTCCCCCAAATGTATAAACAGAAAACACAGATGCATGCTGGGATTTCTGCTAGGCAATAAGTTAGGCCACGTTTCGTTCTCATCTGTTCCTCCTTGTGGGTAGTTCGACGTAGTGTAATGGTTAGCAATCGTGTCACGCTATGGCAATTACGAATCAGTAGTGAGTTAGATCCTCAGTGGGTGCTCTACACTTTCGGCCGTGTGCAACATCTAAGCTGCGCTTAGAAAATTGCCATGTTGTCTTGAAACCAGAACGCTTTGATCCATTGTCTGTATCCCCATTTCTCTACTAACACCATTTTTAATTGGTGAGCATTGTGCCTTATTGTGTTACTTTGCCTTATTGCTGCTCTCTCGCCTTATACATATTGTTTACTCAATATCCTTTTTACCCTGTTCTTTTCTTGCTCTTGTTATTGTTTATTATAAACATTGCCAATTCTCTTTTGGAGACCATTTTTGTGACAATTACAATTAATTACAGCCAATTACTCTACAACGTTTATTCCGTTATTTATTTTTATTCGTCCTGCGAAAAAGGATCGGAATATGACGGTTTGTATTAAAATTCAATAAAGAAACTCTTCGTAGAATGGGAAATTTTGCAATAACAAACCAACAGACCATCAATTCAAACATCAAATATTGAATCAATATTAATGTTTATTTGCAAATTTACTTTGTCAACTTTATTCCCTTTGCCTATGGTAGCAACGAAGCTTCTCTTTTCGTGTCTTTTCTATAGAAATTTTCATGATAATTAGTCTTTAAAACTTTCCTCTTTGGTAACTAAAATTTACAAATTTAAGCGCAGTACTAGATTAGCAACAAGTCCCATTATTTTAGAGTATATTGTCTAGATGCAACCGTTACTTTTGTACTAAATTCTCTTTTACTTCTCGCTTATGGAACTCTCTTCTAGCTTCTTGATTTCTCGTCAACTTTGATCTTCAAAAATTTCAATGCTATGAAAGTGTTTTGCTGTCATTTTCATTCCTGTTCTTTATTGTTCCCTCCCCTTGATAATGCTTCATATTCTTTCACTATAATTCCCCCCACACAGACAGACACTTGTGTCTTAATGGCCTTATTGCTTTGCTTGGGGTGAAATGATAAAAAAAATGTGTAAATTATAGGACGTGGCGCTGGTACAACTTCAGCGACCAAAGAATTTATCAATGCAGAGTTTTCGGAAAAACAATATCGAAGGCTTAATTTTGTTTGCTCATAGAAACACCCTTGAGCTCAAAAGCCCAGAGTTTCGGAAGACAAATATGAACTGAACCCATCAACCGACTAACAATTTTAGAAAAATGATTTCAGCATACATCACTTTAAATAGATGTTGAAAAATTGATTCAAGAAATCTATTTACTTCATTGACAAAAAACAGACAAAAGAAGATGTATGTTTATATATAAGACAGCCTCATCATATTCATAATCAGTCCCATAAATAGGTGTTGTCATAGGGTCGCAGTGCAATTTGGTCGCTCAGAAGTCCCCTCTAAGTGTCTGTGTTGAAGACCAGAGAGACATTCATTCATTCATCTCTTGCGTGTCTTGAGCAAATAGACCTGGCGGTGCCTAACCTAATCCAGAACAAACTGAAAATTTGAAGGCTCACTTTGGCCAGGGACACGTGGCCATTGATTCCATTCGGTGAACTTGCTACTCTACCTGTTGACTTCACTGCCCAGCGATTATGTATCATCACCGTACAAACTGCCCACATAACTTTGGAACATTGTCTAACCCATTGGCTGTTGATTCTACAACTTGGTTCATTTTCTCTTTGGTAGCTTTTGTTTTTATTTCGGCGTGGTAGTAGCTATCTCCATTACGAGAAATTCCGTTACGAGGTAGCAGGTTTATCTGCGATGAAGCGATCATTGCAATTACATGAGACTTTAGTTTAAAAATGATAATATTTGTACTTCGATTTTAAAAAAAAAAAAAATAACACTTCATTTTAAAAATAAAATAAAAACTTCGTAATTTAATTTAAAAATAAAAAAGTATTCGTACTTTAATTTTTTAATAAAAAAATCCTACATTAATTTAAAAATTCGAGTTTTGTATTTGAATGGGAAAATGGAAATGTTTGTATTTCAATTTAAAGATCAAAAACTTCGTACTTTAACTTTAAAAAAATGTCGTGCATGAATTTAAAGATAAAAATTCATATTTAATTTTTAAATAAGAACTTCGCACTTTAAGGTAAAAAACTAAAACTTCGTGTTTTAATTCAAGGATAACTTCGAACTTTAATTTAGAAATAAAATAAATTCGTATTTTAAATTAAAAATAAAAAAAGTCAAACTTTAATTTTTAACTAAACAGTTTGTACTTTAATATGAAGATAAAATTTTCTGTTTTAATGCAAAAATAAAATCACTTCTTACTTCAATTTAGAAAATTATAACTAAATAATTAAAGTTAAAAATAGATCACTTTGTAGGTTAATTTAAAAATAAAACTTCGTATTTTAATTTAAAATATTCGTACATTAATTTAAAAATAAAAAAAATCTTCGTAATGTAGTTTTCTCGGTATAGTACCTGTCCCGATACTTTTTGATCATTCCTCAAAAATACTTAATAAATTGTTTTAACTTGCGAATAGATTATCAAATAAAACAAAAAACTCCACTCATATTTAAAAAAATCTGTAAATATAATTCATTGATGATGTTACGATGTGAAAACAACAAATAAATATTAATGAATACTGATTCAATAGTTTGATAAAGTTCACTAATGGAAAATGTCTACTTGTCAATTATATACCTGACAATTATATACTTGACAATTATACATATGCATATATATATATATGCAAACCTTATTTAAGAGAAATTTTATATTTAGAGTAAGAATTTATTTATTGAACATGTAATGGAGTATCTTGAGAATCCTTTCTACATGGCTAATATTTTTATTCAAGTATCATCATATTCTCCAACAGCTATTAATTTCAAAAGCTCTTTATGGAAATGTATCTGCGTTTAGAGTCCGTTAACCTGCATACACTGGGGTGAAAGCAACAAGTCTTTTTAAATTTGTTGTCTATCATTATATGATAGTAATAGGAAGTGCATATTGTTATACTGTTTTCTAATTTAATGTTCCCTCAGTGCAAGTCCAAAGAGCCACTCAAGGTAGAGCGTTACTGAATGAGATGTGTGATATAAAC